ACATAATTTTTGTTTGTTTGTTTGTTTGTAAAAGAGATTATGTGACCATTTGTTGAACTGGGCCTAACCTCTGGTAACTGATTTAACGGAGAGTTAAATTTCAAAAATACTCAATAGTTTGATGAAAAATCAAAAAGCACGTTGATGAAGAACAATAAGAATGTATAGGATACCTGAGACCCTTTTTCTCTTCAAATTTCATTCTGAGTAGTTTCATAAAGCTGATGAAACAGACTTACTCTATTGATGCCTTTCAAAGTCTAACTCGGCAGGTGATGGTGAATTAAGTGCTCAGGAGCTTAAACAAAACAAATACAGCTGACTGTTCCCATATGTCCTTATGTGCTGGCTGCCATAAAACAAAATCTTTCATGACTGGAAAATTGAATTATCCTAGGATTAGGAAGCATCTGTACCTGTTGTGTGCTATTTTGGTGCCCAAACTGAATCTTGGCCCTATCATTTTGTAACCTTATAATATGATGAGCCAGTAACTTCTTTTTTTTTTTCTTTGGAGAGATTTTTGCTAGAGGGCGGTGCTCACCAGGGGGGATGGCCACGCCGCAATCCCTTCTCCTCCATTCTCCTCTAGGAATCTTGGGCATGCATGCACATGCACATGGCGTGAATTTAAGCCACTGGGTATAGGACCTGAACCACGGTCGACTAAGTGGGAGTCCAGCCATTATGCTAATTGCTGGTCCCTAGCCAATAACTTCTATAGCTCTATCTTTATTAATCTGTAGAATGTGGATAGAAAATACTGAAAACTAGAATGAGGATTTGATAAGTTAATATGTATAAAAGCAACTGGTTATTCATAAGTTTTAAGTAAACATTACTAAATCAGAACTCCTGTGTTATTAACTGAACCAGCACTTTTTTCACTTATTTGTTCCATCAACTTTTTATATATCCATAGAATCAAATTCTTTGTAAAGTTACTCTACTGCCAAATAAGTTTCAAGAATTATTACCAATGCTTGTCTGTATCCTATCTTTCTTAACAGGTACAGAGTAACATAATTCAATTTGATGTCCAACAATAAAGCTCCTGAATTAGACTATAAAACTTAACTCTTCAAGGCCAAAAAATGTTAAGCCCCAGTTAGTGAAGTGTACCAGAATTGCTCTGGTTCTGAGTAATCATATTTAAAATATAGATGGTATGATAGAATTCATCCTACTAAAGTAAAATCTCCGAAGTAGCACCCTGTATCCTGAAAATGTAATAAACCTTCTAGGTGATTATAAACACTTCAAAACACAAGAACTGTTGCCATAGAGATGCAAATACAACAGCTCATAATCAAGGCACATTACCACACCGTCAACATGAACAAACCTAAGGAAAGGAGCTGTTGTTTTTGACAGATAATAAATCAATAAAAGGCTAATTTTTCTGATTAGGTACCTCTATCCTTTACCTAATCAGAAAAATCAGGTACCTCTTACTTTACCTCTCCTCCTGCCTATAAATCTGATTAGTCACCCCATTCCTTTGAATTAATTTTGTCTTTATTCTGGAAGATTCCATGAAGTTCATGATGGATATTTGGGGGAGGGATTCAAAATGCTATTAATATTAATAGCAGATCCAATTACAATATATAGATCCCCATTTAAGATCATCAGTAATGTTCCAAGTGAAATGTGATTTACATGTGTACTTCGTAATCCTTAAATGTATGTAATTATTCCCAGCTTTAAATTATAATGAGAATACTGGGGTTAAAATGTGTTAAGTAACTTGATCACTATCTGCTAGGGTTTGAATATCCCCCACAACATGTACATGTTGAGATGTGGTTGTGAGAGTATTAAGAGGGTGAAAATAATTGGGCTATAGTATTGAAAGTTGGGACCTTTGTGAGTAGACATCTTTAGGGTGGGGACTTTATGGTCAACTCCCTGTGGGCTTATAAGGTGAGGCAATGAGGTCAAAATAGAGATACATGGACACAGATCCATGAATGCCTGCCACCCACCATATTGTTATTCAGCTGGAAGACTCTCACCAGATGCAGTCCCTAGACCTCGGACCGCCAAACTATGAGCTGAATAAATCTCTAAGCTTATAAATCACCCAGTTACATGTATTTTGTTATTAGTGATAAAATGGACTAAAACACTACCTTAGAGTTACCAAAACAGAAAGCAAATATAGAGTTGATTCAGAGAAAAACAAAGAAAAATGTAGACCTATGCAGAGATAGTTACATTGCTAAGAAACAATAACTTTTTAACTGAATCCAAACTGGTTATAAAGTGGGAATTTGCAAGTGTTTATTCAGGAACTTCCGTCCAAATTCAAGATTTGAGTAGAAAATTGATGTAGCATAGGAAGAACATGGCCATTTATGCAGGTGTTCCCAGAAGGAAAACTAATTGAAAAACGCTTTAAAGAAGAATGGCCTAGTTTCCCATCTCATGATGCTCTACGAGTCTTCACCTACTGATCTTGGAGAGTCTAGCCTACTATTTTCATTGTGTAAATTAATACTAAAGGCTGCTACTCTTCCATAAAAACTGAATAATGACAATGGAACTGGGGATAATTGAAGTCTTCTCCTCTGACTCTCACAGTGAAAGTTGCCCCTCCTTCCCATGGTCACAACATAAAAAGTAAAAATGTAATCTTTTACTGCAGGCATGGGTCTACTCCCACAAAAATGTTGCTGATTGTTACCAATCTAGAAGCAAGCAGCTCTAAGCACAACTGCCAGTCAAAGAATGGTATATGGCTTACGGAGTTGTCACTGTTGAACCCAAGCAGCTTTGACCCACAGAGGAAAAAGTAGGTATCAAGTTGCAATCAATAGGGCAGCACTGTTTGAAAATTTTCAGGTAGAATGTCTAGACCAACTAAATTCATGATACTTCTATGTTCCAAGAATAAAAGAGCTTGTGTTCTTCTGATTATACACTAATTTCTCTAAAGTATACCAGTATTCTAAAAGTTTTAATAAATGATTCTGTAATTGTACCAAACAAATGTCTGCTACATAATAAACTGTATTCTAGATTGACTGTACATAATGTTGTGAGGATTTTTCAGATGAACTTTTTTTAAATAACAAATCTTCATGAACTGAGCAACAACAAAATAGTGGCTTATATATTAATAGCTTTAACATCATAAGGTCATTGATATGGCTTCTATTAATTTAATGCTTATTGTATGTAAAATTTTACTATATGTAAAAGAAGAATGCTCTAAATGTATTCCCTCTTATTTTAATCGTTTTTCAACAACCCTTATGGTACATGTTAACAGAAACGAGAAATAAGACTTTTTAAGTGACTTATTCAAGGCTGTAGACTAGTTAACTGTAAAGGGAGGATTCATATTATTGTGGTTCCATTAAACCACGGCAGCCATGACAAGTATTTATATACAGGAAGACTACAGATTTTCATCTTGTAGTAACGAGGAATAAACTTGTACCGTCATTTTCCTGTGCTGGTTTTCTATAACTTTCAATTTTTCTGAAACACCATCATCTATGTAACTAGTCAGTGACTTACAGAAATCTCCCTCTCTTCAACAGTAGTGAAAAACAGAAAATGTCTTCAGTTTGTTTTTCTTTGGAAGAAGACAATTATGACTCTTTTCTAAATAATAATCTAGCAATTTAGGAACTTGCCCTCAACCACAGGTAAAATTTTGGCTTCTCATCCATCAGCGATACTAGAGGTAGCAAGGCCAAAGAAAGAGTAGAGCTCATGACTGAATCACTCCTGTGCCATTTACTAGCTACACGATCTTGGTTGCCATTTTAATTTCTCTGAACTTCACATTCCATATATGTACTGGGGAGATAATACTTGCCTCTTACAGCTGCTACGTTAATGTATTGATTAACATAAATAGTGCATGTACACATAGTATGAAATTGTTACAAATCTGAGTTCCATATTGTCTGCCCTATCCCACTTCAGTTCCAGAACATAATTATTACAAAATGAAGAGTTTCTTATTTTATTTGTTAATCTCAGACTTATGTATTGACTCAAAAGCCTTCATAATTTTTACTCCATTATCTGTTCAAAACAAAAAGGCCATTATATATATATGTATATATATATATATATATATATATA